GCAAGTGGGTGCAGGGCAGCAAGAAACAAAGATACGCAGTGTTGGAGAGGTAAGGTGAGTGGGTCAGGTGTGTGTGGTAGTAGCAGGGAAGAAAGGCATATGGCAGAAGAAAGGTTGGGCAGGTTGATTGGTGCCTGCAGGGTAGCAGTAGGAAAGAAAGGTGCAGAGAAGATAGGATGGCAGGCTGGATGCCACTCAAATTCAAGCATCTCAGTGGCTTACAGAAAGTAAGGGAAAGAAAGGCATTAGGAAAATTGACAGATGGGCTGGTGCAGAGGCCATGCAGAGGAGAAGGGAGAAAGGAACAAGCTGCACCAGTCTTGCCCTACTTGCTCCTTAAGATTTCTCCAGATTTGTGTCAGCAAAAATTTAAATGGACCAGCTTTTGCTTTGGTCAGATTATGACCTGTCCAGAATTTGAACCACAATGCATTTAGTCTGTGCATGGAACAAAACACATTCTTTTATTTAGTGCATACCTCTTTTATTTTATTTAATGGCAGTTGCTGCATCATATATTTTATCTATCCCTTGTGTTCTTCTTAGGCTGATATGTATTGTCCATTAATTTTACTTGCAGAGTTGGTACTCTTTCCACTAGAACTTGCCACATATTTTAAGGATAAGGTAGTTTTTAAAACAGTTTTTTAACTGTGTTGTGAATATGAGCGTGCATTACCTGTTATTTATTAATGCTACCAACTTTAGAATAGAAACTTGCATTTTGCTCCTGGAGAGCAGTGCTGGAAGGTGGAATCAAGATTAGAAGCAAAAAACAAGTGAGAAGAGTTTGAAATTGTGTGCATCAGTGAGATTCTCCTTCTTTGCTTATTTTAAGCTTTATGAACTCCATTTTATAAATAATAAACAAGCTGCAGAAGTAAAATAATGGTTAGTGTTTCTTGGAAGCAAGCTTGCTTTGTTATTTTGCAGTAAATGGCATTGCTGGTTATCACATCTGACTGGACCTGCATGGTTACATACATGAAACCAGGATGGTAGCAATCTTGCTAATGAGTCAGCACTAACACATGGACATTATTTCTTTAAATTAGGCCAGAGTCCATAATGGTATATAGGACACATAAAAGATTGATTGTGATATGAATTACATCAGGAGAAGATATTCTAGAAAGCTCTAGACAGATGCTAGAGAATGCTCTTTCGAGCAATTTCAGGGAAAGGACATAGTGAGTGGGTTCGAACCACACACTAAAACCTAACCTTGAGTTGACATATCACAATTACTGAATTCATTTACTTAATATACTGTGTGCCCAAATAAACAAACCGTAACAAGTCTTAAGGCAGTTATTTGGCTCATACACAACATGCTAAAACAAATGGCTGGGTTTCCACAACCCTCAGCTATAAGCTACTTAGCCCTATTTTAGCTCAATTGAGTGTGCTGTGTAAATCCAGCCTCTCCTTTCATCAAAAAGGGAGTCAGCACTGCCCCTCACTTCTTATGTTGATTGTTAGTGCAGGCTGCATTTTTTTTCTAGAAAGATATGATTCAGTGGTTAATAACCTTGAATAAGGTGAAAGCTGCATTGAGTAGTTTGTAAATAATATCCTTTGGTGCCAGCCTTGCTGTGATTTACTCAGCAATTTAAGCAAAGATAGGTTTTGCTGAACCTGTCCAACAGTTTTTTTTATTTATATTATTTAGGTGACAATGAGCTGATTTCTCATGTATATATCATTCTGTGTTATTGATTATGAGAACCAGTATGGTTAACATGTTGGACTAGGAGTGGGGAGACCCAGGTTGTAGTCCTCCCTTGGGCACAGAGGCCAGCTGGGTGACTGAGCTTGTCAGTCTCTCTCAGCCTTGCACTGGGAGGTTGAAAAATATCTCTGAAGAAGCCACTTCTGCTCTACTGCCAAAAGAACTGCATGGCCAAGAATCAAGACTGACTTGAAGGCACATATGTATATGTCTGGATGGATAAATTGATGGAATTACGGCAATAGAATTGACATTTCAAAATTCCAACTAAACGGGTTATTCTCACTTACTCAAAGTAACATGAGATTTACATTTAAAATATAGTTTGTACTGCGGTTTAGAGTCTTTAAGGTTTTTTAAATGAGCAGCTCTCCTGTAGGATTCTAACACTGTTTATTTTATCTTGAAAGAGAAGATATAAATTCATAGCAGCCAAACTGTTTTTAGCACTAGTCATTCAGGTTCCATCTGAACAGTGCCCACTACTGTGTGCGCTTGGATTTTGTTTCTTTTCTGTGCAGTGGCATACAGGCAGCATTTTTAGCCAAAGCATGATATATACCAAGTAACTGAGCTCTGGCTGATTCCTAAGATAAATTGATTAGTCATTATATAAATTTAATTAAATCCTAATGCTATGATAAGTAAGCGTTAAAGCATTAAACTTAAATTAAAGCGTTAAACCCCAATGATGGGAAATATCACCTGTAAGAAAGCTGATAATCAAATACCCTATTATTTTTTCCTTTGGGCCAAATTTCACTATTAATTGTTGTTACTGAGTTGTCTTGCTTAGTAAAAGAAGCAAAGTGCTTGCACTTCCATCAAGGAGTAACTTTGCCTATATATTAGTCATAACTGCTAAGTTTAAACCAACTTGATTTCATCTGTCTTTCTCTTGACATTCAATTTTTTTATGCATCCTAGTGCTATGTAATAAAGGCCAGCACATCAGATTTAATGATATTGGTAAGATGGAGGCATTCTTTATTTGAAAGCATTCCCATCCTCAGGTCAAAATGATCATCCAATTAAAAATGCAATATGAACACAAGAAGGCACAAAAAAGGAGTATTCAAAACAATTGTTCTTCCATATGAAGACTGTGCCAAAGTAATAATGAATGAACCCTGAATTGGTGTGGAGACCTTCTGGGTCAGGTAGACTTTGCATTTTTCCCCCTTTCTGGAACATTCAGAAGGATTTATAGCTAGCTTTAAAGATGTATAAGACATGCTGAATTCAAGCTGCTTTAAGCTTGGAACAGTTCTTTGGAATGCAAAATGATCATTTAGACCGTTTTAGAGGTGTATAGAATGATAGAAAAAGCCAGTTTTTAAGTCTGAAGCTTAAAACAGGTTATTTCAAATTCAAAATGGCTTGTTTTGCACCCCATACTTAATTAGTTACTGTGGGTTGATGCCTAGAAATTGGTAAGTGCACAAGTGACATTAAAGAATACTGATTCATACATTTTTAACCTTGTACAAATTGTTAAAATTTTATTTATTTATTTATTAGCTGCTGATTGCTTTGTAGAGGAATATTTATTAGCAGAACTGCTAGATTATTTGTTAGGCTAAAGAAAGATTTTTCATTTGGGATATGGTTTTATTTTTATATATCAATTTCTCAACTTCAAAAGATTTGCTAATAATAGAAGGAGTGGGCCAAGCCTGAAACTAAGCTGATTTTTAACCCTTTTAAAATAAAGGCCTTTTTTTACATTAAGCAATGTTTCCTGTGACTGCCAGATGATCTTAAAATCTATTAGGAGTCAAGCATCACGTGTCTACCTCATTTGTGTATGGTTTATTTAAAACAGTTTTCACCAGCTCTTCAGGACATATGGCTATATTTATATTATTGTGTCTTGAAAATCTCCCCAATCATGAGAGTCCTTGGGGTAAATTATAAACTTATTAAAAGATTAAAAGATTTAGAACTAACAAATGCCTCAGAAAACATTTGAGGAAATATAGGTCTCCAAAGCCAAAATTGCAACATAATTTTTAATTTTATTTTTATTTAATAAATTTATATGGCTGCCCAGCTTGCACTCAGTGACTCCAGGTAACTGCAGCATAATACAGGCATTTAAATAAAATCAGAACAAAATAATCAAAACGTAAAATGCCTGAAAAATAATAAATAGCTTAAATTTCTGCAAAACGTACAGGCACAAGAGAAGCCACCTTAGGAAGGTTATTCTTTGAGCTGGACCAGGAGTCCTGGGAAAACCTGTCTCTCTGATATACTTCTGCCTAAATTCATTTGGCAGAACCACCCAAAGGAGGCCCATGATTGATGACCAAAGTGCCTGAAAGGAAGACATCCTTAAGAGCAGGAATAGAAATACTGCATACTGCATCCAGGCTCCAGAATTCTGCAAAGTGAAAAATCCACAGGGCTTGGAGAGGGTGGGGAGGGAGGATCAGACCAGGATGAAAATTATACTATGAAGAATAAATGCATTCACACACACACACATACACCACACACACATAGTATCCATTCCCATAATGGCTCTGGGTGGCTTACAACATACAATGAAGCCACACATAAAAATAATATTAAACCATAACAGCAGGCTTAGCTTTTGTGATTCAGTTTATCTCAAAGGCACCGGATTGAGGGTGCTTATTTTATAAACTTTAATACAATTTTTCTGACCTTATTTGCTCCATCTGTTTTGTTCATGACAATTTTGTGAATACTCAACATTCCTAAACTCTCTGCCTCTGCCTCTGCCTCTGCCTCGAGGTATATGAAGAATTGTATTTATAAGGGAGGGAATTTATCACATTTTAAAATATTAGGGCTATGCACACCCAAAAAGTCACTCAAGAAAAGTACTTTTGAGACTGCAAACACAGCACCTCTCAGCTATTTATTAAAGCAGCTGCTCTTGTTCTCAGGCTTCTGCATGAGCTGTTTTAAGAGCCCTCTTAACTTGAATGAACTGACTGCTTTTTTCAGGCTCACACAGAAAAATGAAAAGAGAAGGACTATTTTAACAAACTGGAGAGAGTTGCTGTGTTCTGCATGGTCTGGAGCACTTCTTCCAAATCATTTTTTACAGGAGCACAACTCTAATTAATATTGTATATTAAGATAGTTTCTAAAGTATAATGGTTTATCACCTAATAATTCAGTCAACATTTGTTTTTTCAAAGTTTTTGTGTGTGTCTCTCTCTAGTGTGTCTGTTGCTACATATTTCCCTTAGCATATCATTCCTTCCCTGCTCCCTTTTTTTTTTTTTAACAGAGTTTCTTTGAAGGACAGTCTGCACCATGGGACTCAGCTAAAAAAGATGAGAACCGCATGAAGAATAGATATGGGAATATCATTGCATGTAAGTGTTGACAACATAATTCTACTACTGTGCAAATTCCTTTTAGTAACTGACAACACTGCCCACTGATATATAGCACTATGTATCTGGAGGAAAAATTGAGTTCTAACTATTATAATAAATAATAGCTAGATAAGTTAGTTAGATATTTATTTATAATAAATAAAGGAATAAATGAATAAGTATTTAAGAATTCAAAAGACTGCAAAATAAAGGAGGTATAATTAACAAGCCATTGTGTCTAGAGTACTGATGTCACTTTTGGATACAGGTACTTGGGTTTGAAGCCTAATTCAGCCATGACACTCACTGAGTAAAGTTGTCTATCTTATCTCTCAATGGATGTGAGGATAAAATAGGAAGATAAAACCACATATACCATATGAAGTGTACAATGGCAACTTCTGTTGCATCATACAATCTGTCTTTACATTCGCTGCAAATCTTTTGAGCTATCTGCCAATAACATGGAAATCATCTGCTTACTGAGGTACACACACAATCTTGTCTCTCACCAATACACTACTACTGTCACTGCAAACATTCCTTATCCTTTTTTCCATAAATACATTAAACAACTGAGGGAACTTCTTGTCTAATTCTCTGCTCAATGTTGAATCATTGGCTAAAGATTCCATTTAGTCTCATGCAAGTTTCACTTCCATCACATACTGTTCTTATCGCATTCATCAACCAAGCCTATAGTCATGCAGAATATTCCATATTTCAAGCCTGTTCACTTTTATCATACATGTTTTCTAAATCAGCACAATAAAGTTTCTTTCATTCAACATTTCTTTTTTTTAAAGAAACTTTATTAATTTTCAATAAAGAATAAAATATAAGGAAACAGAAAAAACAAAGAGAAAGAAAAGTTCAGAAAAAAAGAAATAGTTACAAGTGCAGAAAAGAAAAATAAGAGAGAGAGAGAGAGAGAGAAAGAAAGAAAGAAAGAAAGAAAGAAAGAAAGAAAGAAAGAAAGAAAGAA